ACGGAGCAAGAAAATCACAAAATAAAAAAAAAACTGAATTAGACATGATTAATGCATCAATGCATCTAACTACTGTAGATAAAGCTACTTCGATTCTTGTTGATGTCCATTCCCTGTCGGAAATAGGGAATTCTGGAACAAAAAACGTAACTAAAATAAATATGAATAATGCTACAACACAAATCATTTATCCACAGAAACTATGAAATCTACATCTGAAGAGCTTAAAGAATCTGGGAACCAATCGAAGCTAGAGTGTACAGTAAAAGAACAAGATACGCAACAAAATGATATACTGGGGGTACTCGAACTATGAAGATAGAAATTCAAGTAGTCTATTTGAAGAAATGGAAGTAGCCAATATCATTACTGAAGCTAACAAACGGAAGAATGTTTCAGTTGTTATTGAAGGAGTGGACAACATCTATCAAATTGATACAACGAGGGAGGAAAACTCGACCTATGAAACGGAAGCAGCCAATATCACTACTGAAGCTAATAAACGTTCAACAAAAAATATTAATAATAATAAAACTCTGCAGTTTTTTTTAATAATATTCTAGGTCTTGCTAAATTTACGAATCTCATTATAGTTTCAGAGTACGATAATTACCATGACAAAAATATTAACAATATTATTTTCAGAAAACTCAGGCCGTTCAAATGATTCAATAGAAACTGCTCGATTACATTTCATACTGACAGATAACAAAAAGCGAACAAATTTGAACTAAAAGGAAAACTAAAAAAAATCGAATTCACAGCAAAATACCAACAGAGAATTGCTCTTAGAACAATGCAATGCAATCTCGTCATGTACCCTCTTCGTGCGGGCTCACTACTCTCGTAGCAATGCATAAGGCTATCTCTTATCTCATGCGTCCACTCAAAGCGTCCGTTGTTGTCGTTGTCATTGCCAGGGTTGTCATCGGTAGGCAAATCATCTTTATGGGCCCCATCACCTTGCCTCTGACCCCTCCAAGCGGGTCGATTGCGGGGGCCCCTTCCTCGATTGCTAGGAACCAAGTATTGGGTCCACCGGGTGGTTAGCTCAGTGGACACACGGCCGGCACCGGAGGAAGAATGGTGTTCTCCTTCCCGGGTGCGCCTGGGTTGCCGGTCCGATTCTGCACCAGTTGCTCAGATAAGTAGTAGTGCAACTCACCAAAGGCCAAGGGTGTGAGTGGCCATCCTATTTATTTTTTCACCGATACATTCAGGAGGGCACGCCAGCATTATCAACCAATGACCACTCCCCACACCGTGGGGTAAGTGATCATTGGGTCAGAGAATCATGTGCTCTGAGCAAGCGCAGTGAGCCACGAATGACAGCCTTCTGCATCTGCCTGGCTAAGATTTCTGCCTAAGTGCGGCAAGCCAGTATGATTTTAAGATTCGAGAGTAGAGAGTACATCATTCCACCAAGGACTCCAATAATCTTGACAGAGTGATTTGGATAAAGTCTGCGGAGTTCGAAGAGAAAATGTCGATATTTTCTCCGTTTTTCCTTCGCTTTCCTGACGATATTCGTCTCGCCAGGAGCTGAAAACTCCACGACAAATATCGTTTTGCTCTTGTGGTCGAGAAGGACTAGTCAGGCTTATTAGCTTGTATGTGAGGGTGGGGAACGAATGGTTTCAATAAATTCGGCACTTCTCGTTCCCCACAAAGGATTCAATATCCCTCGGAGCGTAGGGCATCACAGGTGTCTCTCCAATACCGTAAGAGTGCCGTAGATGGTAATATAGCACTCTTAGGGCCGTGTTATGTCGATGGATATAGGCCGAGACCGCATATGCTGGACATGCTGATAAACTTTAAGTAAAAGCAAAAATGATTTCTGTTAATTCAGATCACCTTCGTTGCCCACTTTGTCTAATGTCATCTGTATCTTGTACGAGAAGCGGATCCCAAATATCTTGTATTGGCGGCTCCATTGGATCGAGTTCATCATTTTAGCTACATTGTGTAACATGAAACAACATATAACAAGTTTTGGAACATTTTCAATCGACACTTGAACTTTATATTGAAGCAACGAAAATCGTTGTTTTAGTTGCCCAAAACATCGTTCAATTATTACACGCTCCTTTGTAAATAATTTGTTATAAGCAAGCTGTGTCGAAGTATTTGGATTTCTAAAAGGCACCATTAACCACGGTGCTACGCCATAACCTTCATCTCCTGAAATTGATGCATTTTTAACATTTTTAGCAATGTTAAAAAAGTTACTCCATATGCGTGAATCATGGCCATGATGCGTCTACGCTTGTAAACCACTCATCTACATTGCAAGTTGTTTGAACGTTGATATTGTGATATCCTTTGCGATTTATATATTCATCACTATGAAGAGGTGATTTTTTTATCTTTATGTGAGTGCAATCGATCACACCCATAGCACACGGAAAAGTGTACTTTGTTTGCCATCTTTCTATAGCTGCTATTATATCCGCCGGAGTGCACGGAAATTTTATCCAATGTGCGCATTTTTCTACTATCTGATCAGCAACTTGCGTCACAACCTTAGACACAGTACTTACTCATTTTTATTCATACCACCCAATATCATGATGAGTTGATAATACCTAAACTCATGCAACACATCTAAAATAACTTGGGCCATAATTAAGGAGATACAAAAAATAAAAATATGGAACATCGTGAACAGTCAATAATGTTCAATATTCAGATGAAATGATAGCTGAAAAATTTACTGGGACATATCTGAAAACTTCTCTGTTGACACGAAGTTTCTCGAGAGCAATGCCACCTTAAATAACTCAAGCTTTTTTGTTTCCAATTACTGAATGGAAACTCACAAAAATGATTAACAGATTGAAAAACTCTAACTCCACTGGGATTGATGGAATCTTCAATGAAGTAATTAAAATTTGCTCTAGTGAATTATGTGGTATCCTGACCTTTTCAATTAAACTCTCAATCTCAAAAGGCATATTTCCGACCAATCTGAAACTATGACTAACTTCTGGATAGTATCTGCGTTGAAACCATTATTATGACCTATCTGTGTAATTGTATCAATTTCCCTAGCTAGATTGTCTGCAGACAAAGGCAGTGCGAATGCTCTGTGCAACATTGAGTTGTAGGCTGCTAATTTATGACTGTCTGGATGGAAAGAATCGCTTGGGATGTTAGTTTATTGTATTAGTTTAAGAATGTCCATATAGGACGAAACTGCAGTAACGTTAGTTACAATTAAAAGTGGTAAAAAACATAGAAATTTTCATTTCTTTTTTCATTATGATCTTCTACCACGTAATAACGGCTATATCCATCAATTTATTAACAATTGGAATCCTATTTCATAGCAAATAACTTGTTATAGCTCTGTGTGAATATCAAAATCGAATAGTAAGTGCTCTAGACAAACTAGACAAAAAGATATGTGTTTTAGGATTTTTTTATTGACTTTTCACGGGCTTTCGATTGTGTGAACCATGATTTTTCGCTCGACAAACTCTCAAAATATGGTGTGAGAGGAATACCCTTATCCTTACTAAACTTATATAAGAGAAGGCAAGTAGTCAAAGTTGGAAAAAGTCAAGTACTGAAAGAAATATTGAGGATGGGGTGCCACAGGGATCCATTATAGGGCTCTTCTTGTATTTAGCTTTTTGTATTTTGCTAAACTGACGCTTTCGTCAGTTCACCTAAATAAGAACTGTACATGTTATGCTGATGATACTAATATATTAATTACCTATTGGAAACGATATGGACTCCGCGAAAAACACAGCTCTTGAGACTTACAAAAAAGTTATTATATTGTCAAACAAGTTGGAGCACCACAACATTACTCCAGAAAAGTAAGAAACTATTTGGATACTACTTTTTCCGGTCGTTGGATTGGCCGTCGAGGTGTTACAGAATGGCCAGCCCGATCGCCAGATTTAACACCTTTGGACTCTTTTCATAGGGCTATTTGAAGCAAAAGGTGTGCGAAACTGAACCTGCTTCAATATTGGATAAACGGCAGAGAATAATAAATATTTCTAGAGGTATTTTGACGTTACTGTGTTCGAAAATGTTCGTCGTGAAATATCGAATAGGCTGTTCATATGTCAAGAAGTTCAAGGCAACCATTTTGAGCATCTTCTCAATCGACCTCAAGCTCATCACCTCATATTATGTAATTAAATGTCAATGTATTTAGGCAATTAAGTATTAAAAGTTCTGCCATTTTGTGGTAGATGAATATATTGACATTGTATTCTAGGATTATGAAGCATTTGTCAGGAGCTTCAAAAAGATGTGTCACAAGACCCCCCTTTCCATTCAATTTTTTTTCTCAGATTGTGCCCAGTCGCCATCTTGAAAGTTTCATTTGTCAATATCACTTCAAAATGAAGTATTCATGCATTGATTTCATTATTCCAAATTTCAATTTTTTGAGTTGACCCCTTCAAAAATTGAATAGGGGACCGAAGCTACATTCACAAAACATAAAAGCTGTATTCGAGTTTACGCTCCATCGAGGGGCCAATGCTTCTTACGTCATTGTTCATTGACATAGTATTCGATTAACCTTATTGCAGTTGAGATACGGTTCTTACTGGTATCATGCCAACAATGTTAGAAGCCCTGTCTGTCTATTGGCAGGATTTTTTAAGAAAATTATTTCTTCAAGATGTGAAAGAATACTATGTCAATAGCGCAATAGAAAAATTTATAAAGTACATCATTCTACAGCCAAAGTCGATTACATATTGAGAAAACGAAATTTTAAAGACACAAGGATAAGTTATAAAGTACGATTTAAATACAGTGGCATATAATCGGAAGACATAGAAACAACAATGAGAACAATACAAACAGCATTATATTGTGCTTGAGCTGAAAATGAGTTGTTTTCCAGCTATTGTTTTTTCATTATTTTTTATGATCCAGGCTGAGGTTCAGGATCTAATTCAGTATCGGAGGTGAATGTTTGCGGAATGAGGGGAGTTATAATTGGCATCATCTTTAAATACATTTTCTTCGATTAATTTTTATTTTTCCATGATATTACTGCAGGTTCTACCAGAACAATTGAGGCACACTGCAGAACATTTGAAGCCTGTTTTACGGCAACCACACATAGATACTTCCACAGATTCCATTTCATTAGTTCGGACTTTCACTGTCTAATATGATATGAATTGATTTGAAATCCCTGAGAAAATCTGTAAAAAATTCAAAATGTTAGCTGAAAAATAACAATTATATCAAGCAAAAAAACTGAAATTACAATGAAATAAATAACAAGCAACAACCAAAAAATGAAAAAAAATTGAACTATTTTCACGAGATGAAAATTAAAAATCAAAACATTCCAAACCAAGTTACTTCACGACGTTTCGATAGTTAGTATCCACAATCGTCTTCGGGTGATAACTGTTATCACCCGATCTTGGAAAAATCGATGGTGAGTTGAATGCATTTTTGATTACTGTCTTGGCAAATCGTTATCTCATGCTGTCCAGAGAATAATCTTCACTTCTACCATATGAAGACACAAAAAAAGTTCGCCACCGACCGTGAATAAATACAGCTCGTCTTTCTTACTGAGAAATACTGCTGTTCCGCTTGCTAGCTCAGAATATTTCTGTAAAATTTTGATAAATTTAGGTTTATCTTTGTTATAAGCTACTGATGAGTCACATCCTGAAAATGCATGGACAAACAGCAAATTCTCTGCAATAACGTCGCCATATATAAAACATGAAGGACAGTATAATTGATCATACGTACGCTCTTTTAAGGTTAAAAAAAGGAATGGTTCCTTCCTAATGCTGCGAGCAAAACAAAAATATCAATGTCCTCTAGTACGATAGCCATATAATTATAGGATTGGGATGGAGCAAGCACATTACCAAGAAATTCATCTTGAGATAACTTTGATACGGTGATCTTATCAAACTTTATCTCTGTCGATTGATGCTTTTTCGTGCTACGTAAGCGCTTCCACGACAGTCCATAGTATTTTTGTACATATCCAACACAATTATCAAGGATGTTGTTCAAAGACGAATTCTGATCCCAAACCACTTTATGCAACAAAAAACCACCATCGATAACAAAATGACATCTGTGACTTGGTACCTTTTCTCATGCCATTCTCAGCGATAAATGCCAATGGAAAAGGTGGTAATTTGTATAACAGATATTGTTTGATATCGCCGACTGTTGCTCTTTTCTTTTCATCAAATAATGGAACATTTATTTTATTCAATCCAATTGTTTTACCTTTTGAGTAGGACGCAAGAGTAATCAACCCTAAAGTAGATTTAGCTGAAGCTGGTGTTCTTTTAGAGACACGTGTTATCAGCCATGATACTGTCATAACGTGTAACACATCGAATACCTACCACTCATCGCATGAAAAGTATTTTTACCATGAATTATGTTACTATTAAAATCAGCATTGTCAAAAACAAACTGCGAGAAGGTATAAGGTGAAGTATTACGCGCTGGGCGAAATGCACAGGAATCTCCAAACAATGAAATAGAATCATGCGACGCGGAGATGCTTAATGACAGAAGAATATTGATAAAATTACTGGAACCATACTTTCTATATGAAAAAGATATAACCCCAAGTAGCATTAGAGAAATAAAGCGGGTCGAGTGATGAAGTAGGTAATTGATATACACTTTCGTTGTGCTGCAAGCAACGACTTACGTTTTGATTGGCATATAATGTTGATATTAGCTTAAAAAATGAAAGATGTTAGTTGTCGCGCCCTCTAGTAGCATATGTAGCAGTTACTTTGTATTCCCGTTCTTTTTCTAATAAAGCAGTTTCTTGCTGATAGTTAAACAAGTCGGAATGTTTTCATTGTTTCCTTCCGCCTGCTTTTTAATAGGTTATGGGCCCAGAACACCACGTGTAAATAAAAACAAAAAAACATTGAAACAAGTCTTACCGCAGTTTGTTCATTCAGTAAAGTGAAATGTCGATCAACTATTTAAACAGTTGTCCAAAACTACTCGGTCGCGAGAACTTCGACGAGTGGAGTTTTGCACTGGAAAACATCTTTGTCTTGGAGGGCTTGACCAAATGTATTGATGGGACCGAGACGGACACAGTTTTAATCGCGAAAGCGAAGGCAAAGGTGTACAGATAGCTACAGCAAGCTTAGTAGACGGCGTTTATAAACTAAACTTGAAGATAGAACAATGCTTATTGGCCATATCCCCTGAAACGTGCATTGGCCATATCCCCTGTATGGTGCATATACCTAAGGACAAGAGTACAAAATTATGAAGACTATACAAGTAAAAGATTTGAAAATACATCAGAAGTAGTAAACTATGAAAAAGTTGTTGGAATTTAGATTCCAATCCAGCTGTTGAGAATATTAGTGAAGGCAGTTCGTTCACTGACTTGGATGATTTAGATCCAGACTATATTCCAAATAATGCTGATGATGTTGAAACTCGAACAGAAGTAAGAAGATCTGGAAGAAAAAGAAAAGAAATTTGAGGATTATGTTACTTATCTGAGCGCTGCAGATAGCAACATCTGTTTTGAGGAGTTCCCAACCACATACTCACAGGCTATGGGTAGAAACGACAAAGACGAGTGGCAAAAGGCCATGCAGGAAGAGATGAACAACCTGGTGGAAAATGAATCGTGGGAAGTTGTCGACCTACCATCGAACGGTACATTGGTTGAGTGCAAGTGGGTATATAAAATAAAATGTGATACTGAAAATAATAAAAGCTATCGTGCTAGATTAGTGGCGAAAGGTTTTACTCAAAGAGAAGGAGTGGACTATGGTGAAACCTTCTCACCGGTAGTTAGGTATTCTACACTTAGGTTACTAATGGCATTGTCTGTAGATTTAGGTCTAGACGTAAGTCACTTAGATGTAACTACGGCCTTTTTACACGGACACTTAGACGAAGTTGTATATATGAGACAACCTGAGGGTTTTATCAAATCAGGATATGAAGGCANCAGTTACTTTGTATTCCCGTTCTTTTTCTAATAAAGCAGTTTCTTGCTGATAGTTGAACAAGTCGGAGTGTTTTTATTGTTTCCTTCCGCCTGCTTTTTAATATATAATTCCTGATAATAAAACTGATAATAAAGAATGAACTTCCTTTGAAAAAACATTTTGAGGTGGTGGTGGTGCGTTTCACAAGGCAGTGAACGGATGTCTTCCAAAATAAATGCAGCTGTATCTCCAACTTTCTCCAATCTCTCCTCATGATGATTATCATTTTTTCATGAGATGACCTTTCGGATATAACTTTATAAAATGCCTTTCATCAAGCGCTTTCTATCTTTGAATTCAAATAAAACAGTGTGTGTGAGACATCATCGAAATTTTTCATTCGTTTGAAAGACTTATTGATGCTATCATGTTTGGAATATAACATCGTACAAATGTCCGCCATGGCTTCTCTGACTGGAGCGTATCCGAAACGTCCAATCTTCCATGACACTGGATCATAAATCAGGTTGAATTTGACCGATGGCATGGGTTATGTTCACTTTGAGGACCGCTGTGGTTTGTGACTTAATCGCATGATCGCGGTGACCAGTTTACATCACCGCCACAAGAAATGACCATACCTCTAAATCGCTGTGCAGAATATCCGATGTGGTGTGAGCTGTATGGCACGTAGCGCCACCCTGTTGTAACCACATGTCGTTGGTGTCCAATTCAGGGCAAAAGAAGTTGGTTATCATCGACCAATAGTGCTCGATTATGACAGTGATGGCCTGGCCAATTCAGGACAAAAGTAGTTGGTTATCATCGACCTATACTGCTTGCCATCGACAGTGATGGCCTGGCCAACGTCGTTTTCGAAGAAATATAGACCGTTGATGCCACCAGCCCAAAATTCACACCAAACAGTGACTTTCTCGGGATGTATTGGACGCTTTTGGATCTAGTGTGGATTGGTAACTTCCCCCAAGTTCGACATTTTTTTTTGCTCACGTATTCATCCAGAAATGGGCCTCATCGCTGAAGATGATTTTTCGATGAGGAATAGGATTAGTTAACAACTGCTCTAGAGCCCTACAGGGAACACACATAGTTATTTATGGTCGTTTATCTTCAGTTCCTAAGTTAGTTGAATTGTGTACAGGTGCAGGCCCAAGTCTCGACGCGGAATTCGCTCAGTTGTGTAGTTGAATGCTATATCCGTCCAGGGCCATTTGGCAAAATAGACTGAATGAATAACAACTAATTCAACAGATGTAACTTCAACGAGATGGCCGTTATCGATCGTCAAAGTTCTGAAGTCCCTGTTGGAAGACCTTTGAAGCAAATAATGCCATCTTAGCCAGCTTCAATGAAAAACTAAATTTTATCCTGATACTTCGCCTTATATCGTTCTAGGATTGTTCGGTCCCGAGAAATAAAATATCCTTTAATCGATTTCATTAAATCCGTCATTAGAAATTGGCACGCTTCACTGTTTTCATATAAGTGAGCAAAAATATACTCCATGGCATTTAGTACGGTGTAATTAGACCTAAACCTCAACATCCAAAGTAAAAGTTTTCCTTCAACACCAAATTGCTCTACATAGTCCCCTTATTCTATGGTAAAAAGTTACACCATTTTGAGCGTCGGGTTTGGGGGTGAGGGGGGGGGAATTTGAAAAATCACTAGTTTTTTTAGTTTTTCGTAAATATTTCAAAAACTAAGCGGTTTATCCTAAACATTGTTATATACAAAAATGTTCTACGTTAAATTTTAAATAAGAATGGTCCTTTTCATAATCACTCTAAATTGTACGGTTCAAGAGTTACAGACGGTGTAAATGTTAACTT